GACTTCGTCCCAGTCGCCTCTTCGGCATGGACAGAGAAGTGCTAGTCACCTCTTCAGCATAGGCTGTTTATGATCCAGTTGCCTCTTCAGCATGGGCTCATTAAAACCCAGTCGCTTTGGCATGGGTAGGGCAAAGTAGCCCAGGTGCAGACAGGTCAGGCATGCATACCCTACAGTGTCTGCTCACCCCGACATACAATAACAATTGTTCCTATTCGAGTTTGGGAGTAATCTCGAGTTTGGGAGAAATCTACACTTACGAAAATTTTTGCACACAAGGAGTTTTGCAAAGTATTTGTATTTCATTGATAAAATGCTTCAAGTACATAGTAAAAAAAAAGAGAGAAAGATTACAACTGTTTAGCCGAGCTCAGAGGCTCGGAACATCAAGTATTTACAGGGGGCCAAGAAAAGAGGCATCACTTAGTTCAGGGCTCCTCATCCACAATGAAGGCTTCAGTAGGCAGATTTGTCTCCATGCGATCCTCGGCGACATCAGCCTCCTCTCCCTCTTTCGTCGTCTCGTCATCGAGCAGGTCATCGTCACTTTCTGCCTCGGAGTCTAGATCCTTGGCGGCTTCAACAACCATCTCCTTGGTGATCTTAGACGTGGTGATGGCACTGAGGTCAAGGTGGGGAAATTCACGTCGGGTCAACCACCTACTGAGCTTGAACCCCTTGTGGTAGCCCACTGTCCCAGCATCAACCAATCTCTTTCGAAGTTCCGCCGAAGACTTGTACTCCTCAACCGCCTTGACTTTGGCCTCCTCCAACGCTTGAAGTAGGATTTCAGTCTGCTCTTTCACATGAGCCACGAGGTTCTCATTCTCTCTCTTCAGTGCCGCCTCGCGCTCCTCAAGCTACTTTTTCTCTGCCTCGAGTTCCTTCTTCTCCGTCATTAGCAGAGTCAATAGCTCCTTCTTAACTCACGCATCGTTTTTCAGCTGGTTGATCTCACTACTATATAAGTTGAGCTCGGAGTGGGCACTTCGAGAGGACTCCTCGGCTTCAAGAGCTCGCTTTAAGTTCACCTTGGGCTGATAGGCCAAGACGTGGATAGAGGAGTTCACCTGCCAAAAGAAGAAAATAAGCATCACTATGTAGAAAAATCTAAGGCAACTTGAAAGCTAAGTTTAAGTACATACCACCATACAATGCGTGGTTGCTCGGGCCCTGAGCTAAGCAACTGGCAAGTCAGCCCAATGAGCGACCTCCTCGGCAAACACCGCGTTCTTGCTCTTGAGAAGGCCAAACTTCGAAGTCAAAATGTTCCAGATCAAAGTATCGCTGCCCGAAGAGGTGAAGGTCGTTGGAACGGGCTCTGAAGACGTGGTCTCCTCGAGTACGTAGGGTGGAGTGGCCTTGCCCGGGTCCTCCTCAACCAAATCAATTATGAGAGGCTGTTCAGCGACGGGTGGGTGTTCGGGCGCGGGGGCGGCAACCTCAGTGGTGGTGATCTCAATTTGGAGGCGAGCCTTCTTGGAGGCCCTTTTCTTCTTCTTCCCCTTTTGCATGCTTCCAAAGAGCTCATCGACAGGGATGTCATCCATGGCAACTGCGGCAAATAACGAACTAAGCCAGATACAACACCGAAGTAAAACAAATGGAAAAAAGTACAACAAGTAGCGACCTACCAGGAGGGCTTAGACTGGCTTGGACGAGTTTCTCCTCAGTCACAAAGTTTTTGAACTTTAGGCTGAGCTTCTCCCAAGATTGGACCTCCTCCCTTGTCTTCGGGTCCAATCTGATGTCGAGGTCCTAGATGGCTGCCCTCCAGTGAGTCGGGAATGGCCACCCCTCGGTGTTACGAACCACGAAGTAGCGCCTCTTCCAGGCCGGGACCTTGTTAGGGAGCTCATGCAACAACTTGTACCCAGAGCGAGGAGACATATAGTAACTTTCCTTGTGCTCGGGTAGAACGCAAGCCAAGTTCTTCTTGATGGAAAGGATCGATGAGAAGATGTCAAGGTCTAGGGGACGATTGTAATCGTTGAAAAGGGAAATGGTACCTACGATGTTATGGATGGAGTTTGGGTGTAGATGGTCTATGGCAATGCCAAAGAATTTAACGATTTCGACTATAAAAGGGTGGAGTGGAAGATGCAGACCGGCTACGAGCTGCTCCTCGAAGACCACGATCTCGTTGTGACCATTATCCCAAGGAAAGTTGCCTAAGGGAATACTATATACAAAGTCATTGGGGGGTCTATACCGAGCTACTAAGGATAAAAGCCTATCCGCTGTCATTGTAGACGGACTGAAGTTATTTGGTAGGTGACCTCAATGTGAGGTGGAGGCTGATTTACCAGAAGCTTCTCACTTTCACCGAGGTTAGCCCGCCTCGGATGGATTGGAGTATGCATCCTATGCCGAGGTACCCACCTCAGCCCCAGCGGACTCACCGCTCCCATCTAGAAGGATATCTAAGATAGGGCTAGACATATTAATGAAAATGACAACGGAATCAAAAGCAAAGGGAGACACACTCACCAAAAGAAGACCAAAGAAAGTGAGACGAACTTGGACCCAGGAATAGCTAACACCGAACTGGGACACTTGAACGTAACCTCAAGGATTTTGGATTTGTAGTTTTGTGGTGAAGAAAGTAGGCCCTTTGGCCCTTATTTATAACCAGTATATCCGGGAATCAACGGTCAAGATCTACACGATCCAACGGCTCCTAGGAAAACCAGTTACACACCTCCCAAGGTTGAAATCAGTTTAGCGCGCGTTTTGGCATCCGTGGAGACTATAATCAGCTTGACGTCTGTGCGTACCTAATACACGATCTGGGTCACTTCCTGTTTGAGCCAACAGTCGAACAGGTCCAACCAACGATCCGCCCTCCACATCACCTGGACTTCGTGCCAAATCCACCTAGGCTTATCATGAACTCCTTGCGCCGGGTCAAGAGCCCTGGCACGAGGAGTGGGGGGGCAATTGATGAGGGGTAATTTGGCATTACCTAGTAAGTAAAGGTCACGTGGACACGATTTGCCTGTAGAATGACAAGTCAGCAAGGGGAGTCTAGTCAGCAGTTTTCAGAGTGGATGTTCAGCCACCTCGGCATTGAGCCACCTCGGCATTGAGCCACCTCGACGCTTAAGCCAGTTCGGGGCCCAGGATTTGAGGTGACACGTAATCGATTCTGAAAGCTTCCCAGCGAACTCTGAACATCATGGGATCACGCCGCATAATGGTAGGCCTTATCCTCTCCCCGCCCGGATCGGGCGGCGACGATAAACTTCATTGACTGGTACGTTACCCCCCGACTAAAGTGGAAACGGATCTCATCCACTCAGGCTGAAGATCCCGGAACCGTTTCACCAAATTGATCCCTCTAAGCACTATTTTGCAGATTGATCCAGCTCACCACGCAAGTACGTCCAGGCAGTTCTCCAGCTAGGAGCTTCCAGATCGTGCATCATCAATATCCTTTTCTTTTTGTTTTTTTTTTTTGCTCAAGGCTTACGCCTCAAAACGCCTTAAGGCTTACACCTCGCCCTTATGAGACACAACCGCCTCCCCTCCACCTTTAGCCTTTTAAAACCTTGTATCAAACTGCAACCGTCATGAAGCGTCAAATGTAAGTTTTGAGACCTTGTTTGTGTATGGGCGATGCTCTTTCTATTAATTATGCAGGTGTTGCATTGCTACTTTTTTATGAAAGAATAGGCTTCCTTGCCATTTCATGCAGGTGTAAGAAAATTTGCTTTATTTTTCATGCTTTATTCTTACCCATTCGCCCATATTATTATTATTATTATTATTTTCATAATTCCCATATTCTCAATTATCTCATACTTGATATTCTATTTCTTCTAAAGCATATGCATCATATATATGGTCACTCTTCACTAATGCATATTAGTGCAAGAAGTGAATAGGAATGCCTTGTTCTTAAAACAATGTTGGTTCATATTCCTAAATTGAAAAGTTTGATAAGGAAAAAAGTACAAAACTACTTTGGTAAGATTCTAACCCAAATTGTATTGTATATTTGGGGTACTAATACCCCTTTTTTAAGGTGTTTTTATAAAAATCTTTTTAAAAATAATATAAAACTAACCTTGTAAAATTAAAAAAAAAAATTATGCATGGTTCAAAGTGTTGATAATAAATACACATTTTTCAGCATATTGGGGTGTATGGATACTTTGAACCATGAATCCATGTCTAATATATCATACAAGTCATATAAGATACTAATTTTATGTTTTCATGTCTTTATTGTTTATGGATTATATCATTTTCTTTTTTTATTTTTTTTGCTCAAGTCTTACGCCTCAAAATGCTTTGAGGCTTACACCTCGCCCGTATGAGACACAACCGCCTCCCCTCCACCTTTAGCCTTTTAAAACCTTGTATCAGACTGCAACCGTCATAAAGCATCAAATGTAAGTTTTGAGACCTTGTTTGTGTATGGGCAATGCTCTTTCTATTAATTATGCAAGTGTTGCATTGCTACTTTTTGATGAAAGAACAGGCTTCCTTGCCATTTCATTTATGCCCTTAAAGCCGAGATCTCCTATTGTTGCTCAAGTTCATGCTATTTTGTTAGAGTTATGGTTGATCAAATCCTTGGGAGTGGAAAATGTTATGGTGAATTCAAACTATCCTCCTTTGAGTGACATTTGGGCATTTCTTTTTGGGGAAAATCTATGATGCGTGAAAGATATGGTATAGGAAGAGTTTTGACCAATCAAAACCCACCCATGAATTTTGATAAATAACACCTAATTAGCTACCAACTTTATGATTCTAGTTGATTGGTCAAAAGTTTTTCAAATATCATATCTTTTCCATATCATAGTCAAACCAAGTATATCTTGGCTGAATTAAAGTAATTTAAAATGTTTGTTTTGTTCATGTAACCAAGGAGTTAAACAAGATTACTCATTTTCTAGCCACTCAGAATTGTGAAAAAGGAGAATGGCTTGTGGTATTTCCCTCTTGGCTTTAGTTTTGTTCCAAATCTCTGATGTATCAAGGCATGTTTCTTCTAAATGAAAAACTTTCATTTGATTACCAAAGGAAAAAAAGAAGTTATTAAGGAATTTTACATTGTGTTTTAATTGTATATAAGTTTCCACAGTCAATTACAAATCAAAGATATATCTTCCTTCTCTTGTAAGAATTCCAGAGATCCACCATAATACTTCTTGGCTTCTTGTCTTACGATAGTTGAAAGCCCTGTTTCTCCTTTTGATTCTAAACCATTTATCAAGATTTTAAATGTCGATTTATCAGGTTCACATTCCACCACTTTCATGAGGTGGAAACACTCCATCACAAGTTCAATGATGCTAAAATCCATAAAAGTTTGCAATAGAGCATTGAATGCCTCAAGATCAGCCTCCAGATTGCTTTCCATTTTCATATACAAGAAAACACGCTCAACCATTTCAAACAAGCCATTATTTGCCAACACCTTAATCATACCAGCATACACTAGCACCTGAGGCTTATACCAATACTCCTTTCGAATATCTTCAAATACCTAAATCATGAAAAATAAATATCAGTCATTAATAATGTTAAAACTTATGGATAATGAACTTAACAAGAGATTCATTGTATTCACCAGTATTTCTTAGAAGTACTTGTTAAAAGAAGTATTTCTTAAAAGTACTTGTTAAAAGAAGTACTTATTTTAACAATCACTTAAGATTGTTTGGTAATCCACTTTTTAAATCACTTATTATGTTTTTAAACACTTGTTGGGGTGGGAATGTTTGATAAACTATTTTCTCCATAAATGTTTATATTGACACAAATGACAATTTTAGCCCTCACTTCACTCATTTTCAATTCAGAAAGATCAAATACGGATCTACTCCAGAACGTGTTCTCAAACATTTTCCTACTTAACACAAATGAATTTGTAAGTAGGAAAGTGTTCTCAAACACTACCAGGAAAGTGTTCTCAAACACTACCATACATTTCCCAAATAACACATCAACTCCAGAACGCACAACAAAAAACATAGAAGTAAAAATAAAATAAATACAGCACCAACAAATGCAAAACCAGGAAACGTTGTAAGAAATGTAAAATCGGAAAGATTAAAACACCAACCATCGATAAACAAACAGTTATCGAGTTTATGAACACAAATAGGGGATACCTTTTTCTCGATCCCCGGGGCGGCTTGAGAAAGCTCGGTGGGTTGCTGGGCTTGAAGAAGCCCTTCTCTACGCTTCTTGAGGAGATTGTCCTCCTGTTTGTTTTTTCTTATCTCAACGAGATTGTCTTCTCTCCTCCGCCAAGCCTCGTCTCCATCGACACCAGTTTTGTAGGATTTCTTGCGAACTTCGGTTCGAAGAGATATTGCCACTTGATTTCTCTACCTTTATCTTCTCTCTCTCCCTCGATTACTCTGTATTTGTAAAAATCCCTCAAAGAAATGAGAGAGTCGAGTTGGTGTCTGATGATGCACAATCCGACCGATCTTAGCTGTCAACGATCTTGCCTCTGAACCGGGTGGCAGGGACCTGAAACAGAGGGAGAAGAGAAGCTCCGGGGAGAACCCGGCGTAAGGGCTCCGAAGCTCAAGTTAGAGTTTTTCAAAGGCAAGATAGATCAGATAGCGCAAAAGTTAGCATACCTCGTTTCTGGGGGGTAGGAGCCTTTTATAACCACCTCGCGCATTCACTTCCAAGCTTCC